CACCCCACCCACTGTCCCCCAGAGGTTACCACATCCGAGTGTCAGCGCTGAAGAGAAACAAAGATGTGCTGGTATCTGCCTCCTCCCCTTACCTGGTACCTCCTCCGGGCCACTCAGTTGGGCCAATCAGAACATCATCTTCCTTTGGAGATTCGAACTCCGCTCAATCCAGCAGTAAGTTAGAGTACACATGGCTTTACTGTCTCGAAATTATCTAAGACGGCCACCCATTGTCAGGGAGGAAAGTTGTTGTCTTATAACAGGTGAATGTCTTAGACACTGTCATCATAATGTAAAACATACACAAGGGAGGAAATGAAAATGTGTCATTTGTTCAGGTGATTGTCTTATACAGGTGACTGGAAGAGCAGGTTCAACTGTACTTTTTTGCTTAGCAATAATTTTTACCATGTTATGGTGACTCTCTTTTCTGTGTTCGAGTCATGGTTTTATTTGAGAGATTTTAAAAAAATTTACTTGGTATTTATTTCTTGTCTGTTATTGTTGTGATGATGGTGGTGAAGGTGAAGGTGGCAGTGGTGTTGGAGGTGAATCTAATTATTTTGGGGGGTTTTTCCTCATATTATGTACGATATTCACAATTTTTTGGTGGCGTTTTAATGCAACTGTGGTAATATTTATTAGAATGATTTTGACACTTTGCCGTATCCATGAGGGTTTTAAATAAGGCATTGCATTCGCGTGGGTAGGGGTGCCCTGTTGTGAGGAGTTTCTTTCTAAAACAAAATGCTTGTGATGAGGTGAACTAAAACTTTGACTGTTTTTTTTTGTATGCTTTTTTATATTTCCTCAATTGGCCAGGGGATATTTTTTATTGAGTATCTCAGTCATTTTGCCCAGACGTTGCATCTCTCTCAGCCTGAGTTGGCCCTTTCATGCAGGGTCAAAGCCCCGTTCCTTAGTGGTCTAAAAATTATGTCGATGGCAGGGTAAAACACCTGCATTAAAAAACACCCGCATATTTCCATAAAACCACATAATATATACTTTTTTCTACGTTTCTGTCCGTCCCTCTTTACATCAATACATGATCCACATCCATTAACCCATTTGTCTGTCTCCAGAGCCAGGAACCCACAGTCTGACCATTGTGCAGGCTAGGCGTACAGGAGCTGGTGCTTTCTTCATCAAGTGGTTACCCGCCGTGCCCGCCGTGCCCACCACGGGAACAATGCTGAGATATGCAGAGTTCGACGTCAAGGGACTGAAGAGGCAAAAATACAAGTCAGTATGATAATACTTATCTGCCAACCTCTATGTAAAAAAAAAAAAGGGATGAGTATATAAGAAGGCTTTTTTTGTCACAAAATGTGTACTCTGTTTCTTGCATTGCTCCTCACGGGCTTGCCGTTGCTGAGGAAAAATCAAGACCTTTCAAGAAGGGATTAATCCTTGAAGTCCATAAGTCAATAAGAGAGACCTGATCTTTACTAGATCTATACATTTCTTACTTTATTCTTGCAGGTCTTCTTGGAATAGTTTGAATTTATTGTATGAAGAAAAGTGTGTGTGAAAATATTGGATGGGGGTTGCTTGTTCAAGGCCCACCATCTTGGCCCGCCACGTATGTAGAGTCTGGTTGGGTTTTTTTATTCAGTGTGAAAAGTTGGCAACGATGATAATATAATGAGGTCAGTCCCAAACTGTTTCGACTTTTCAGGCCATTTGTTAGATTGAGTTGTGTTGAAAAGTTAGAATTGCGAGAGTAGAATAAGACTTGTCTTGTGGATATGATTCTTATAAACTTGACATCACCCCCCCCCCTCCCCCCACACACACACACACACACATACACACATGCACCTTCTCTCTCTCTCTCTCTTTCTCTCTCTCTCTCTCTCTCTCTCTCTCTCTCTCTCTCTCTCTCTCTCTCTCCCTCTCCCTCTCTCTCTCTGTCTCTCTCCCTCTCTCTCTCTGTCTCTCTCTCTCTCTCTCTCTCTCTCTCACTCTCTCTCTCTCTTTCTCTCTCTCTCGTGTCACTGCTAGTCTCAGACGTTCTGTTCCGTGTATTTCTTTCCCTAGAATCAAGTTTGTGCCATCGGGCCAGAACACAGTGACCATCGTTGGCTTGAAGTCTGGTGCTACCTATGGCTTCCAAGTGGCCAGTATGGTACCTCAAGGTCAATATGTCCGTTGGAGCAAGTTGGTGCTCAAAACAATGGACCAAAACTCTGGATAAGAAGGGTATTCCAATTCAAGACCCACAATGCCTCTGCAAGGGAACATCTCTCCGCCACAGTGCCTGCATATAGTTTCTCTATCTATGCATTTATTCATGGAAGACATAAATGTAATATTAGTGTACAGTAACATCCATTGTGTGACATTAGGAGTGAACAAAAGAGACGATTGCATGGATCTGTTTGAAGAAGAGTGATGGATTTTCCTTTCATTTCTCTATTTGCTGACGGTTTTGCTTTGGTTCTTTTTTAGTGGATCAGAATTGTTTTGCTTTTTTTTTCTTAGAGTCTGGTCTTTTATAAAATATGATTGCTTGTAGGCCTACATTGTATTAATCCTTGGCCTTTTTAATGTGAGACTGAATTCATAGGATATCATAGTTTCTCTTACAGTCTGACAATTCTATTTCTTTCAATATTATTTTGTAGACATATTATCTCTTCACAAGATATTTACTGTATACTTAAATTAGGGAAGAAAATGCTACTCTATATCAACGATTTGCTTTATATGCACATATAGAACAAGCAAAAAAGCTCAGTTGATTTACTATCTACTTTCAAACAGAAGTTAAAAGGAAGGCGTATATTTTTTTTTAAATCAAAGGCATGGTTAAGGCTAGGTATTTAGCCCTCATAACATTGGTAGGCCTACCTATATCATGTCTAGTCCCTTAATAAACCTTTTTTTGTAAACAATATGATGTTTCGTTCACGTCAATATTTATGTTTCAATGAAGGACACTTTTCTGTGCCTCTTTGGTGAAGATGGCAATTAAATACTCTTGGTGCTTCCTTTTTCCAATTTTACTGAGTGTGTGCTTCTTTGGTTATTGTCTTGCTGTACATTGTAATGTAGGAGCGGAGTTCAATTAGTCTTAGCCCTGACAATAAAGGAAATGTTATACGAGGACAAAATTTGGAGAAAGTGATCTCCATCTTTCTGGAATACTGCATATTTTTGTGTTTTCAAAAAATCTGGTGAGTGATGTGATCTTGAGAGCACTCTTAGAGAACTTTATTCTTGAATACAAAAAGGTAACACTATTTTCAATGGATACAATATCAACAATGTGAGTATCACTTTAATCAAATTTTTTTTTTTGCGATAAAATCACCTGCAGCAATTTTTTAGAATGTTGTAAGTGTTTCTCTTGCAGAATTCCTTTCTTGTGAAATTATTTAATACTGGACAAGGAAGTTCAAATCACCTGTTTTTGTTTGATAGCCTACTATATAGACGGAAAGGTACAACTGTTTTTGGGACAGTCGGGGTGTCATCATATTAGACTACAATGTACTTAGAAAATGGCCATACAGTCACTAGGGACTATTCTTCAATGTATTTTATAAAACTATGACCTAACTCGACTAAGAAAAATCAGGGGAATCTGGCGAAAAGAATTGTCCTGTTGCACGACAATGTTCCAGGGCACAGAGTGGTGAAGGCAACTCTGACAGCAAAGTAGTGTGGCTACAAAATTCTCCCACACCCACCCTATCAGATATAGTGCCCATTGACACCCACTTACTCTTTTCTTCTCCCAAATCTGTACAAAAAAATTTCAAGGGCGGCATTTCCACATTGATGAAGATGCTATATTTACAGTGGAGAAATGGTTTTGAATGTCACAAGAGGTCAAATTAAACTCAAGGAATTTTGAAAGTCAAACAATGATGGCCCAAAAGTGTCAATTTGCAGTTTGACTGTTGAGGAGTAGATTTGTAAGAGTCAAATTGGCTGGCGACAGTATACCACAATCAAATAAAAACAGCAAAAGGGCACAGTCTCCAGATTAAAAATAGAAGTTGAGAGTGTTCTTTGAAAAGGAGCTTCAAGTGTTGCACTTTGTTTGGTCTTTTGAAGAATTCAAAACTCGAGACTTCAAAGAAGACAAAAGCATGCCAAGGGTTACCATTTTAAAGGCAAACTTGTATGAGGGGGCTCTCGATCATGGCCTAGAGGTTAAAGTATTCGCCTGTCATTCAATAGGTCCCAGGTTTGAATCTGGATAGCAACAGAAAATGTTTTTCTTTAAAATGTTCTCCTTTCACATCCTTTCCTGCCTGCTCTTTAACAATGATCTGTCATCTGCTTTGTCTCTACTTTCTGCCCCCATCCCTTCACCTCCTTTGCCTCCTCCTCTGGGCTCCTGACTCTTTCTGCAGCCTTTCTACTGCTTCTCCTTGGCTGCTTCTTACTGTTGTCTTTTAGCCCACCCGTGATCTTCTGGTAGGCAAGATCTACACCTTGCCTTCTCGGACAAAGGTGAAAAATCTCGGAGGTCCCGCGTGCAAGCTGCGCTCGTTGAAGATCCCTTGGTGGTCCAAAATCGATATGAGTAGGCTTTGGCCTCCACCCTGGCAAAATTCAAAATTTTTTATTTCCTACTAAATGAAAATGTTTGGTGTCTCCCGCTCGCTTATACAACCTTATGCAGTTGCGAGTGTCGTAAAACACTTACCATCAAAGAAAAAATTATACGAGCTGTTCGACATCTTTTTTGAGTCTCAAATTGGAGAAGGAAGAACTTCTCTAATTTTATATATGCAAAATCTACTACAGGTGAACAAATGAAAGCGCTGGCAATCTTATTAGATTTTGGGGGGGGAAATCACTTCAAATCACTATCTATCTTCAACTTTCTCTGACACC